TTATTTTCAAATATAATTGTGCAAAGTTTTATTTAAATATTTTAGCATTTTAAAAAAGTAAATCAGAGCTAAAAAAGCAGGTAAATTTGCCTGCGTTGGTCTACATATTAAGGGATAGTATATAGTTGAAATAGTTTGTATTTAAATTATCAGAAGTTCTATCATGAGTTATTGCAAAAAAATCTTAAAATAGATAGGTAAAGTTGAGTTGATTTATATTTAAATTAAGTTTTATTATAAGTACTAAAAATGATTCTATTGTAAGCTACTATAAAAATCCAGTACAAACCTTATTTTCTATTTGGTATTCACAGTATATAGATAAAGTGGGTTGTAGTTAAACAATCATAATTTCTATTATGAGTTATTGCAAAAAAATTTCACAATGAATTTATCATGATTTCTATCATAAGTTATTAAAAAAATCTAATATAGAACTTACACATTATTCTAGTAACTAAGATATGCAGTTGAGTTATATTATATATAAATTATTATAATTCTATTATGAGCTACTACAAAACTTCTGTGACAAAACTTATTATCTATTCTGGTATTTACAGTATGTAGTTGAGTTGGTATATATTCAACTATCATGATTTTTATCACAAAAAATTCTAAAATATGTGGGTAAAAATGAGTTAGTTTACAAAGATTTCTATTATGAATTACTGAACAAAAAATCTATTATAGAACTTACATACTATTCTGATGACCAAGATATACAGATAGGTTATTTTGTATTATAATTATTATAATTCTATTGTAAGCTGCTGTATTCTCTATTCTGGTATTTACAGTATATAGTTGATATAGTTTGTATTTAAAAAAACATGATTTCTATTGTGAGTTATTGTAAAAAATCCTATGATGTATGGATAAGTTAGATTAACCATGATTTCTATTATAAGTTACTAAAAAAAAAAATTCATCATAGAGCTTATACACTATTCTAGTAACCAAAGCATGTAGTTGAGTTATTTTATATCAGAATTATTATAAGCTATAATAAAAATCCCAATGCAAAACTTATTCTATATTTTGCTATTCGACATAGTTTGTATTTAAACTATTATTATAAGATATTGCAAAAAATCCTATATTGTATAGGTAAAGTTGAGGTAGGTGATATTGGAATTACTGTACTATAATTTTTATTATAAGCTACAAAAAACAAAACTATTATAGAACTTATATGCTATTTCATAACTAAAATATACAGTTGAGTTATTTGTATCAAAAGTATCGTGATTCTATTATAAACTTTTAAGACAAATCTTATTTTCTATCTGGTTTCTACAGTATACAGTTGATATAGTTTGTATTTAAACTATTATAATTTCTATTGTTAGTGCAAAATTTCTACAATGTATAGTAAAAGTGAGTTAGTTTATAATCAGTAATCAAAGTATGCAATTTATTAGAATTATTGTGATCATATGGGCAGAGTATTACAGAAAAGAAAAAATTGAAAAATTTTTAAAAAATTTTACACAACTCACTTTAAAATAAGATTAGGATTATTTTTTACTTAAAACATAAATTAATAAAATTTTGTAATATAGCTCTTTAAAATTTGTAGTTTCTTATGATTTATTATAAAATTTATAACATAAAAATTGATTTTTTGTTTTGTCGATTTCTTTTTTTTCTGTAACACCTAGCTACTATAAAAATTAGTTACAAAACTTATTCTCTATTTTGGTATTAGTTTGTTTACTGTAAAAAACACTATTCCAATAGTTAAAGCTGAGTTAGTTTATATTGATTCTATTATAAGATAATAAAAAGTTTTGTATACTACCTGGTAACATAGTTAGCATTGCAGTAAAATATAGTATATAAAAGAATAAGTCAGTTTAAAAAAGCTAAAAGAATATTATAATAATATAAAAGTTACAAAAACTGCAAATAGTAGCAGTGAAAGCTATTATTATAATTTCTGAAACACCTAATAAAAATTAACCAAATGATTTTTCGGCTGATTTGGTTAAGTTATAAATTTTGGAAATAATAAGATTCAATAAAAGATATATCAGATACATAATTTAATAAGATCAAATAACTAATATATATTACAATAAAACTAAATATTGACATGTACTTGTAAGTTGTAAATTTCAATTCCTACTCTTTGATACAATCCAATTTCACTTAAATAAAGCCTTATTTATTTCTAATTATTTTTGATAAAAATTTGGTTTTAAAAAATTGTGTAAAATTTCAATTCATATTCTTTAGCAAGATCTATTTTTATTCAAACGAACAAAGCTATTATTTATTTCTAATTATTTTTTATTTCTTGTCAAAGATGAAAATTAGTTTTTAATAAATTGTATAAAATTACAATTCATATTTTTTGGCAAGATCCATTTTTGTTTAAATGAAATCTTTATTTATTTCAGAATTATTTTTAATAAAAATTCATTTTTAAAAAATTGTGCAAATTACAATTTCTATTCTTTGGCAAAATCTATTTTTGTTTAAACAAAGCCTTTATTCTTAATTATTTCAATGAAAATTTGTTTTTAAAAAATTTTAATTTCTATTTTTTGGAAATATTCTTGTTCAAACAAAGGCATTTATTTATTTCTAATTATTTTTTGTTTCTTGTTGAAGACAAAAAATTTATTTTTAAATGATATTTACAAAGCATCTTCTGGCAAATTGTTAAAAAAAATTTAGAAGTCTTATCAGTTTGACAAATTGCTAAACACTTAGATATCAGCAAGTCTTCTAAACTATCTACTTCAAATAAACAATCTTTAATTTTTAAATCTACTTTGATACTTTTATTTAATTTTGAATCCTAATTTTAATTGTTAGTACTAAAATTTTTTAATATATAACATATAAAATCTTTTATTTTAATAATTCTTCATGCATTTTCAACAAATATTAATAATATTTTGGTTACTTGGAATCCTAACCTGGGATTTATTTTTATACCAGTTGTAATTATATTAACTTTTTTAATAGTGTTACCTGTTTGTGTAATATATTTGTTATAAAAGTTTAATTTATATCTGGTCTCTTTTTTAGGTTTCTTGCTAAGATTTATTGGTTGACATGGTCTTTTTTATAATTTTGTAAAACTAAATACCAAGTATGTTGGACAAGCATTAGAATAAAAATTTAATAACTTTAACATTATTATTATAATTGGTTATAATAACTTTTATTATTTTTATTATATAATAGATTATGCCAAAATCACTAACTTAACCAAATTGGCCAAACAATCATTCAGCTAATTTTTATTAGATGTTTTAGGAATTATGATAATAGCTATAATAACTATCTAAAGCTAGTAAAAACAAAAGATGAAAAGCGAAACTCTAATAGCAACCTGAATATATTATATATCACTAATTAGATGTATATGATTATAGCTACAATAATTGTAGCCAATTAGGTGATTTTTAGTAACCTTAGTTGTACTATGCAAGTATTATTATTACACATACAAATTTTTAATATATAGACTAGTTGTAAATCTGTGCAATAATGCACAGGAATAAATACTATATATAGTATGCACCTATCCATTCTGTGCCAGGTTATGTTGATCAGTACTGTGTAACAGTATAATAATGATGTAATCATGCGAAGCTGTATATGATCGGTTACACAAATACTTGGTGCCCGGGCCGGGTTAGTTCGATTCAAATCGTGATTCAAATCTTAATATTATAGTGAATCAAACCATGATATAATGACTCAAATTGTAATATAATAATTCAAATCGTAATAATGACAGACTATTCTTAGTAATTTAGAGTCTAATTTGAGTCTATATGATTGACAATCAGTAATGTAATTATATATAAAAAAATAAATAAATATGAAGTTTGATCTTGAAAATTGAACATTTGCTTCGTTACTCTAAATAAGACAAGTGCAAAGAAATATTGTTGTGTGTATGTGATTAGAAAGTGCAGTGAAAAAGGAGAGGCTTGGGGTTAGAAAGGTGGAGTGTAGCATAATAATAAAAAGCAGTTGCATAAAATAATAAATACAATCCTTTGAGCTTTCAAGTATATAGAACGTAATACCATTAGAACGTGGGATATAACTTGCGACTATTAAGAAATGTCAGGCTATCAAAAATAAAAAATAAAAATTAAATAAAAAAAAATTAAATAAAAAAAAATAGAAAAAAAAAAAAAAAAAAACCCCCAATTTTACGTAAGTAATTAATGGATCTGGAATTTTTAGTTAATATACTGTACTAACTTATGTATAATTCATATTACTTTATAATTAAAAATAACAGAAATACCCTTTGCATTCACGAAACATGATCTTTTCATTTACCAATTATTTGGAGGATGATAAGGATATATTTGCATATTACGGAGGGGGAGATACTTTCACAAATCATACAAATTCTTTCACAAATCATATGGAAAATACTTTTACAAATTATACGGAAAATACTTTCACAACTAATATGGAAAATTCTTTCACATATAATATAGAGGATTCTTTCACGCATAATATGGAGGATTCTTTCACGTATAATACGGAGAATTCTTTCACACATAATATGGAAAATTCATTTATGACTTATACACTCGAAAGGGATACGTTCTCAAATCATATGAACAATATGTTGATGAACGATATAATGCAAATAAATACCTTAGCCAACATTGGAGTGGATAAAGGCATTGAAGTAGATAATGGCATTGGAGCAGATAAAGTCATTGAAGTAGATAACAGCATTGTAGCAGATAACGGCATTGGAGCAGATAACGGCATTGGAGCGAATAACAGCATTGAAGTAAATAGTGGCATTGGAGTAAATAATGGCATTGGAGTAAATAACAGTATTGGAGCGGGTAAATGCATTGGAGTAGATAATGGCATTGAAGTAAGTTACTGTAAAGCTATACTTGCTTTTTGTTTACTAATTATTATTTAATCATTGTAAATTTTTTAATTTTTGTATTTTTATTCTTATAATAAAGATCGACTGTACTGCATCAAATGTTAATTCTTATGGAGCAAACCAAAACACTACAACTCTTGCTAATCATATGGATAATAAAAATTCTTGCGAAGTAAATCAAATTTAAAGAGGCAATCTAAGTTTTTTTTTTTTTTACAATATAGTAACATTATAAAAAATATTTGTTTTTAGATTTTTTCTTGAGATTTATTGCCAGATTTTTTACAAGCAGTTTTTCCCATAAATTATAGTTATATGATTCGATATATGATAAAATTGCCGCCACATTATACCCATGAGGGTTTTGAAGTACAACAATTTGAAGCTAATATATTTGTTAATGTTTTAACCATAGAAGGCATAAAAGAATGGTTTGCTACTTTTGAAAAACACTCGAAAACAACAATGCCGCAAACTAAAAGATATGGAGTTAAGGGCAAACGAGTTATTTTCTGAGAATCAAGACATTGTATTCATAGTTAGATTGTTAGAAAAAAACAATGTGACCCTGAAAGAAAGAATCTGGAATCAGCACGTAATAGAAATACAGGTTGTTCAACAACCTTGTGTTTGCGATTAGAACGTTGGTGTTTAAATACTAGCCATCCTTTGGAGGTTAATATTTGTTTTAAACATAATCATGTCATTAATTTGGCTGAGTCGCTTAGTTTTAGACGTGTAAATGAAGAAATACACAATAAACTTATTCAAATATTTCACGATGGTCACTCACCTGCCTCCGCTTTATATAATCATGAAGATGAATTACATCTTTCAGCTTCATCAAGTGAAAAACTTGTCGAAAATCTTGCTAATCGTGCAATTAACCCAGGTTATAAGTATGTCGTACATCTTTTTGAACATTATCATAATTCTCAGCTTGGTGGACAAAATGGTGCATCGATGTTTCAACGTTTGAATGAGGTGGTTTCAAATTATAATGCATCAGGTCATGGTCGAGCAATTCTTCAAGAATATGACTCGCAGATAAGAAAAGCATTTATATTATGTATTGTTACCGGGTTAATGAGTAGAGTGCATGAGAAAATTCGTGAAGCTGGTGAAATTTGTTATATAGATACTTCTGTATCATTCGAACCACTAAATACATCAATAACACTCTTGTATACGAGTTGTATAGCAGGTGCATTGCCGTTGGGACTATTAATTACATCTGACGAACTTGAAATGACAATCGAAAATGCAATTAATCTTTTAAAATTAATTCTTCCCGAACATGCATTTTTTGGTCGTGGGCGTGATATTGGGCCTCAAAATGTTTTAACTGACGATTCAGCCTCAGAAAGAAATGCGTTAAAACTTTGTTGGCCGCAATCTAATTTACTTTTATATACGTTCCATGTGTTGCAGGCATTCTGGCATTGGCTCTACAACTCGAAGCATGGTATTAATCAAGAACATCGAATACTTATAATAAACCAAATGAAAAAAATTTTATATTCTCGTACAGAAAATGATATAAATAATAATTATCAAGAATTAAAGAATAATTATTATCAACTGTATCCATTGCTTGCAAAACATTTCGAACGCCTTTGGAACTGATGACAATATTGGGCCCATTATTTTCAGTTAAATTTATTATTGCGCGGTAACTATACAAATAACTATATTGAACACGGCTTCGGTTTGCTTAAAGATATTATCTTTGCAAGAACTAAAGTATATAATTCAGTTCAGGTTTTTTATTTTGTCACTAAAAATATGGAACGGTTTTATGAGCGTTGTCTTTATGGATTTGCACATCGACATCCTGGTCATATGGAAATTGCGAAGAGATTTTTGTGTCCCAGCTGGGAGGATGTTGATAAAGATTCAATTCATAAGCTAGCAAATTCAGAGGACTACTTAGTACTAAAGAAACAGGTCTTATTTATAACGTAAATAGTGCTATCGGAACGTGTGATTGTCCTATTGGAATGTCAGGTGCACCGTGTAAGCACCAAGGTGCTGTTGCAATGAAATATCACATAAGAATTATCAACTTTTTACCTTCATTAATGCCCAATGATCGCATGACCTTTTTATATATTGCAAGCGGTTAGTATTTGTGTAATAAAAGTTATATATACATATACATACAGTAATATTGCAATAATTTTTTTAGGACTCCATGTGAAAGATTGCTCTTTTTATGCATCATTACGCACAAAACCTGCTTTAATCGAAAATAATACTACAAAAGACAATAAAAATGGCGATTCTAATACAGCAAATAATGAGGTTGATATGGATAAGGAATTTAGGTTTGTTTTAACTTTATCATATTACTGTATTATCGCTATCTCTTTATAAATTTTACAGAAAAGATAAAATTTTATATCAACTTTGCATTATTAATATCGATTATGTTAGTGAACTGGACAATCAGGAAGTAGACTTTGATGGTTCATCTTTCAATAATTTTTTGCAAGAAATCAAAGATGATTATAAGACCTGTAGCATACAACTACGAATGGCATTTGATAAGTTTGCCGAACGATACAAAGCTGCAAAATCATGATCAATTGGTTGTGTAACTACCTTCCTTTATGATCATAGATATAACCTGGATCCCTTTGCACGCATCAAAAGTGGAGCAATGATTCGAGTTCAACCTGAATCTGTGAAACGAAGAAGAACAAACATTAAACGTGCAGATAAAGAGAATGATCACCAAGAAATTCCCAAATATAAAGTGCGAAAAATAAATAAAACTAAACATAGTTTGTGCAAAAATGTTTCCAATAATACTTTGAATTAATGGTATAATATTTGATCTCGATGTAACGATAATATTTCAGTAACAGACAAATAGGAATAAAGATATTAATGACCATATAAACTTACAAGTATGAAGTTATAATTGAAAGAAAATTTTTTTTTCTTTTAAAATAACATTAAAAAAAAAAAATAATAAAAAATAACAAGAGGATTTATTTGCCATGTATTTTCAGCAATTTAGCGATATTGTGTATGAAAAATTCATATAATTATATGAAAGGCATCTAATATTACATTTGTTTTATTGAATAAATTTAATATGTAATCATAAGATAGTAATTATTTGAATTGTCAAAATTACTAAAAATATTAGTATTTCAATATGTATGCGGCTCTTCATAAATTTTTAAAATCTAAAACTCAAATTCAATAAAAGTTCAATCTTACACATCATTTTCCAAGCCGTGGATATTCGACATTAATCTTACAGCGAATTAGGGATGGTAAAAAAACGTTTTAAACAATTTTTTAACATTTTTTATTGTTTTAAAACTTTTTTTAAAACATTGGAATCTGATTCTAAAAATTGGCTGAAATTAAAATTATCGTCTCTGGTTGGCTAATTTTAGCTTCAGCTAATTTGATTGTTAAAGAGAAATTTTTAAAAAAAAACGATGCTATATAATTTCGAATTTATTACATTTAAGAATAATAAGAAATGTATTTGATCATTTTAAAAGTTTAAATACATAATTTTGCCTATCGGCAAATACTGTACAACTTTCATTGATGTTAAATGCATAATTGCCTATTGGCAAATACAACTTTCATTCTATACTTTCATTAGAAAAGTATCCAAAATTTGTTATTCAATCTAATATTCTGAATCTAGCAAATTAATTGCCAAAATTACACCAATATTAGAAATAATATAGAATGGGTATTCAGTTTTAATATGCTCTATAAATTCTTCCCAGAAAGGATTTTCAACAGCCGTAAAAGGAATGCAAAAGGAATAAAAAAACCTTGCTAATATACTATTTACATCCGATTTATCTAATTGCACATCATTATTCGAACCAGAATCCTGATCCTGAAGTTTTAATGAATCTCTTATATTTCTTGGAAGTTTTTTACATTTTAATAAATGGCCTTTTAATCGGTCAACTGAATCAATACAGTCTTCTTCGCAATAATTGCATTTTTTGGTGAGATATATTGATTGATTTATTTTTTTGAATAACGATTAATTTATTTTTTGAATATAATTTATTTTTGAATATCGATACAGTATTACTGTATTAATAATCATAATATTATATGCAATTCGGATCATATTCAGATCATATTACGTTATAATGTATTAAAACAATTTTCAACAGTTTTACAGCGAATACGTAGCAACCAGAATTTTTTCTATTTAGATTGTTATGCCATATTGGCTAAGTAAAAACATTTGCTATAAAAAAAATTTACATCATAAGTAGTAAATGCGAAACATGTTTGGTTAATATGAAGATTTATACTGCTATATAAAATTATATTAATATGGTTATATAAATTGCTATTTATATCGAATTTTGAATGGTTAGTTGTATATACATATAGTACATATAGTTTTTTTTTTTTTTTTTTGGTACATACATACTAATCCGAAAGTTCATTTATTATCTACCTTGCATGTACTATTGGCAATAGTTACACCGCATGTCACATTACATTGATCAACATAACCTGGCACAGAATGGATGGGTGCATATAGCATATATAACTATAATATATATTTAATATAATAAATAATTTATACTATACCATTTAAAAAAAACTTGTATATTAATCTAAATATACAGTATATATGTTATATGTTAAAATGAAATTATTATAGATTAGAATTTATCTAGATTTAGATTTAGGCTATAAATAAGTTTCTAGATTATTAGTTATTAGGCTTTCTTAGCAATATGTTTAAGTTTTTATTCTTAGTAATAGATTTAAATAATAAAACCTTTTTCAATTATGTAAAAAGTTTTTATTAAGTTTAATAAAGATAAAAGAAATATCTTATCTTAAATATTAAAAAAAAACAAAAATTTATCTAGATTTTTTTTTTATTTTGTTAAATACTATCATAGCCAACTTTTATTAGGTGTAAATTTTGTTACTAAAGTATAGTAGTACATTTTTAGCATATAAGAACACAACTAGCTACACATGCACCTTTTGAGTATCTATTTAAGTAGTCTGCCAAAGGTTCTACACTAGCTGCCGTATCTATAATCCAACTAGGAAGTTATCTATTTAAACCTTCTAGTACTCTAATTCTGTACTACCATATTTTAAATCTACTATCCATACCCTTGTACTGCAATCTACCTAGTTAATATCCAAATAGGGACCATTCAGGTCAATATTTCTCTACTGGCTTTACCTTAATTAGACTACTCTACTAAAATATTAATCATTGGTATTACCCAAGGAGGAGTGCAGTAAATGCCCTCTAATTTCTTTCATGACCTACACATTTTCAAATTAGATTACAGAAATATTATGCCTTTAAATCTAAGTTAGTACTAGGTTATTACCTCACATATCCTTTGCCCTAATTGGTTCACAACAACTCTGGTATCCACACTCAGAACTGTCTTTTTACCTGGATTCTCTATCAGTCCTTTTCTTATTTCTAGCTAGCAACCCAAAAGGGTTGGTTTGTCCAGGCTTTAGATGCTCAAAGGATGCCCTCCCCTTTCAAAGCATATGCCTTTTTTCTCCAATGTGACAGCCTAGTAGTTTAGCTAATGTGGCCTTTGCTAGCAGACCTGGTTGCTCGGTTTTTTAATCTCAGGCCTTGGTTCGAATTTAGCCTTTTTGTAATACTATCAAAGATCACTACTACCTCCAAATTTAGGACTTGCCAAATGGGTTTTCAGTTATGCCGGTTTCTCAGATTTATTGTGCCAAAGCTCCCATTATTAGATGGTGTGACCAAAATTACAAATTTAGTTCTAGATCCAACTGATAAATATAGCTAACAACCAAACACAGATCTATTTTTCAAATATTGTCACCAGTGGGATTTGAACTCTAGACCTGCCACTTGGAAAGAGTGACAACTAGACCACTACACTAAGTCGTCACACCTCTTAAAATTTATCTAAATTGATTTTAAATAAATATAAATTATAATAGAATTTTAAAATATGCTTAAGTTATTAAAGAATTCTAATTTAACTTATAACAAATTATGTATATTTAAATTATTTTATCAAGTATGTTTTGGAATTTAAATTACCAAAATAGATTTTATTTATAACAATATATTGCAAATTAATTAAATTTAAAAGTATAATATAAAATTTTTATTTTATAATTAATAGAATAGCAACTATTCTTACAAGATATTTTTATTTTTATTTTTATAATGATTTTTGTTTTATATATATAGTAGTATTTTGCAATTATATTTAAATTATCTATTTGTAAAAGGAATTGTATAATAAATGCTTTTAATCATGTATTGCAAATGTATTTTTTGCCAAATAATAATTTTTTGCATTTTTGATTATTATATTTGCTGAATCTTGTAAAGTTTTTATATAAAGTTTTATATTGTCTATTTGCTAACTCATTTTTAGAATATTTAAAAAGCAATTCTTTGAATATATTATAAATAGTTAATTTTAATATTTGATTATTAGATAAAAGAGTTAGGATAAAAAAGTGAATAATATTAATAATAATAATAAATTTGTAACAATCAGTATTTCAAAGTGAGCTGGCTTAATTAGGCTTACTTAATATTTTCATTGGCTTATTAAGGCTTATTTAGTTTTTATACTATATAATATATAAAATATTATTTATTTGTATAATTTATATAATATTCTTGAATATATTATATATTATATGGTTTATAAATTAAGTAAGTCTTAAATATGCCAATAAGTGTAGGATAAGCCTAATCGAGCCAGCTTAATTTAAAACACTACCCATTTCTCTTCTATTTCTAAGATTTTATCTTATTATATTTCATACTTAATCATTTATTTTATTTAATGAAGACCCTATGTTTTCTATAAAAATATCTTAAACTTGTATTTATTTTATCTTGTATTTATTTTTACTAAATACTACAAGTGCCAAGCACAGTACTATTAAATATAGTATTCATGCTTATACTTAGGATTATGATTAATAGTACTATAACTAATATATACAAAACTATAACACTAAACTTGGCATAATCCAAATTTATCTGATAACAAAGTTAATACATATAAACTAATATTATTTTGTTAAACTTAATATAGACCAATTTATCTAATTTATTTGCATAATCAACAAACTGAATTTTTATTCAGTTTGGAGCAAGTAATATTATAAAAGAGCAAGTCTATATAAGGTGCAATTTCTTTGTATAGTTCTTTTTGCTACTTTAAAGAGAGTGGTCTAATACTAAGTATAGGTGGTAAGATATTTGCATTAAAAGGAAAAAAATAAATTGTAAAATTTTTATAATCATTATCAAGATTATCTTTATAAAAGACAACTTTAGGATCTTGTAAATTAAAATAAAAATAATGATATTTTTGAATACTTGGTAGTTTTTTGAATGCTTCGAAATAATTTTTAAAATTATAATATTAAAATCCTTCTCTATTTAAATAACACTGAGCAACATTAAAATTAATTGAAATAGAACAATTAATAATTAAAACTATATCATCTACAGTATTTACTTTGCTTTTGTGGTAAAGAATTTTAATTAGACCAAAGTAGCTATCACAAATAAATTTTGTATGCCCAGGTATCATAAAATTTAGTTCAATTTTATTATATATATTATGATTAATTAACTATAAGTAAAAAAATAAGGAATAATTGTTCTTATTCTAATCTGTATAATTATTACATATAATAACCAATTTGTTTTCTCTATTGTTATATTTTTGAATTATGTGCCAAACCAAACTTAGAGTAGAATTTACATCTTTATCTTTCTTACTATCATCAGGCATTTCAGCTTTATCAATTACATAATTA